TTTCTCCCCCTTTCTTCCCCAATTGCCTAAAATTTCCGGCTGCCTCTTTCTTTCTTGACTGCGTGTTCTTCGGCGGAGACAATAAGGGTGGAACTATAGCGCACGGAATGGCGATTCCAGCCGGAGAATGCAGACCGAGCTTCGCAGATCTCTCCGCCGGTTCACTAGATCTCGCCGCCGATGGTTAAGAGCTTTGTGACTAGGTCACTGCTTCACCAGATCTCGCCGCCGGTGGTTAAGAGCTTTGTGACTAGTTCACTGCTTCACCAGATCTCGCCGCCGGTGGTTAAGAGCTTTGTCACTAGGTCACTGCTTCACCAGATCTCGCCATCGGTTCCGAGCTTCGCATCCTCCATAGCTACAGTTCTCCCCTGCCTCTGCTCCGGTTATGGTCGTTGCAGCTTCGAAGGTCTAAGCAAACCTGGCCCTGTCTAGTACCATCGCTCCACTCTCGTCGGAGTCGTCGCAATACGTGACCATCCATGCCATTGCTGTCAAGGGATACTTCGTGCGCCATCGGATGAAGTTTGGCCGTCGAGGGATGCGTCGTGCAGGCCCAGGGAAGGAAGAGAACGGGAAAAAGAAAGAAGAGGAACAAAAAAGAGAACATGAAATAAAAGGAAAAAAGGAAAAGGAAAATGGCATCTGTCCGCCACGTGGACTGCCACGCGGGTAGCTAACCGGGGAACTGGTTGGTTACCTGCTAATTAGCTTAATTGAACATCTTTTAAGAGTTCGTAGGTTTAATTGGGTGATAAACAAGTACGATGGCTTAATTGAGAAATTGGGCAAAGTACCAGGGCCTATTTGAGAGTTTTCTCTTTTAACATATATTCAATTGAATTATCATAAATGTTAAATACATTTTTAAAAAAATATACAATTATTTTATAAGACACCGACTATTTTAAACCTTCTTCATTTTTAACTAGTTTAAATTAAAAGATTTTCAAAAAAACTAGTTTAAATTAAAAGTTCACAAATCATTATATCGTTTTTCTTAAATTGTCTAGCTGTATTTGATATATATGTACCATAATTTCGCTGAGAAAACAATTTGAAGTACTTTATGAGCTCTATTGCAAGTTAGTATACTTTTTGTTCTATGGTTCTACCAGAGACAAGTTAAAGTATTTTATGAGCTTCGATTGAAATTCATGCACTCTTTACTCTATCAAACTCAAAATCGTGTACCAAATTGATACTTTACTCTTTTTTATTCTAATACAACAAAATCAATACCAAATTATCAATCACTTATGGGAGAATAATTTATTTTAATTATACTATAAAGAGGAAACAAAACACAAATAGTTCCAAATACCTTCTCATTTTCCTTGATTTTGTAGGGAGTGTTCGCAAACACTTAAAAAGGCACTTTTGTGCTTTTTGTGCTTTTTAGGTGGGAAAAACTAATATATGTGTTTTTAAATACCAACCTTTACTCTTTTTTGAACGAAAATGGCACCAACATTTACTTATTTTTAAGTACTTTTAAGTGAAAATGAAAAAGCTAAATGCATGGAAAGTAAGGCTGAGCATAATCCGGTCCGGAATAATACGATATGATGATAATGCCGCAGTTGTTATTTATAAAGAAGGAAATCCAAAAGGGGCCGGAAAACTAGACCAAACCGGACGGGTAGGTCTAGGCCGGACCCGGACTAGATAGATACTGGTCTTCGGTCCAGACCGGTTAGACCGCAATTAAATTGTTAAAAATAAATAAATAAATGTATTTATATTTATTAAAATTGTATACACACAAACACATACATACTTCGTAGCACATTAATTTATTTATTTTAAAAGTATATCAATTAAGGTGTGGCTGTGGCAAGGAGAGCACCTAAAATATCCCATTTATTATTCGCTGACGATAGTTTTTTATTCTTCAAAGCTTCTCATAGTGAGGGGTCAATAGTGAAGCAGGTGTTACAGGATTGTGAGCAAGCTTCTGGGCAAATGATAAATTACCACAAATCGACTATTTCTTTTAGTGCAAACGTGGAGGGAGGGATTCGAGAGGGGCTGATGCAAATGTTGGGGGTTGGACCTACGGGGTTGGACGCTAAATACTTAGGTCTTCCCTCTCTGGTAGGTAGAAGTAAACGGGAGGTTTTGAATTTTATCAAGGAGAGAGTTATACAACGGGTGAATGGGTGGAATCACAGATTTCTTTCTAAGGCGGGTAGGGAGGTTCTTTTAAAAACTGTTGTTCAAGCTATGCCGAATTATGGCATGAATGTTTTCTTATTTCCGAAAGAAATGTGTGCAGAATTAGAGAGAATTATGAATGGTTTTTGGTGGACAAGTTCTTCCGGTAGAGGGAATCGTTGGAAAGATTGGAGTGCTTTGAGCATGCCGAAAAAATGTGGAGGCATGAGATTTAGACGGTTGCGAGAATTTAGTTTGGCTATGCTGGGAAAACAATCTTGGCGGATCTTCACCGAGCCTAATTCGTTAGTGGCAAGAGTTATGAAAGCAAGGTATTTCCCTCATTCTTCCTTTTTAGAGGCTAAAGTTGGGCATAACCCCTCCTTTATTTGGCGTAGTTTATGGGAGACTCAATTGCTTAATAAGCAAGGGTATAGATGGCGAGTGGGGAGTGGGGATTCTATTGATGTGTGGAAAGATCCGTGGTTGCCTTGCTTGGAAAATCCTTGTGTAGAATCTGTAACGATTAATGGCTTAGAGCATTGTAAAGTGGCTGATTTAATGCAAGTGGGAGATCGGCGGGGTTGGAATATAGATATAATAAATGATGTTTTTTATAACAGGGATCAAGAGCTAATTTTAGCCATACCGCTGAGTCAAAGGGCAGTGCCAGACAAAGTGGTGTGGCGTTGGGCGGAGGATGGTCGCTATTCAGTAAAAAGTTGTTACAAAGTTCTGATGCAACATGCAGAGAATGGTGTTAGTTGTGGCTGGACCAGATTATGGAGATTAAATATCCCCCGAAAGTCAAAAAAAAATTCTGGCAAGTTTGTACAGGTTGTCTTCCTACAGCGGATACACTAGCTATTAAGCGGGTCAGTTGTTCTCTGTTATGTCCTTCTTGCCAAACAGATAGGGAGAACTTGTTGCATGTGTTTGGCCTTTGCCCAATTGCGCAGCAGGTTTGGGGGCTCATGAATTGGGATATTCATATTGATAATGACACGGTTTTTTTGGAGTGGGTTGAAATTGTCTTCAGCAGCTTCAGGGAGGAGTGTTGCATCAGGTTTATCATGTTGTGCTGGGGTTTATGGAAGGCCAGAAATGACCTATTGCGGCAGCAAGTACCTACGCAGGCCAGGAGTATTATTGCATGGGCTTTCAATTTTCTGCAGGGCTGGAGAAATGCAATCAATTCAGCGCACCAGTGGAATATGCAATAGCAAGTTAAGGATGTTTGGGTGAAGCCGATCATGGGGAGAGTGAAGTTCAACATGGATGCATCCATTTCCTTTGGTGGAGGCGGTATTGGCTTTGGGTGGGTGGCACGATCTTGTGAGGGGGCTTTCTTAGCTGGCGGGGCAATTCAAAGACGGATAAGGTGGGATCATGTTGATGTGGAGTCTGCAGCGATTCGGGAAGCTCTCAATTGGATAAAAGCAGCAGGATGGGATCATGTTGATGTGGAGTCAGATGCATTACATGCAGTTAATGTGATCAAGAGCGGAAGTGATGATTCCTCTTTTGGAGTTCTAGTGGACGATGTTCGAGAGATTGCTAATACTCTTAACGATATCACTTTTAATCACGTGAAACGATCAACGAACCAAGTAGCACATATTCTGGCTAAAGCTGCGAGTTCCATGTCTGGTTGTAATGTTTGGATTGATTATCCTCTTGATTGTATTTTGTCTTATTTGAACCATGACTCGATTAATATAAGCTAAGTTGATTTTCTCCAAAAAAAAAGTACATCAATTAAGTGATACAATACCCTAGACATTAACTCAAGTTACATACGTAGTACGGAATATTATTTACATATTTACACTAGTAAAATTTTGTAGCATAAAAACATTAGGAGTTAGTACGATGCATTGTATTTTTTTTTTTACATGTTTTAACCATAAACATAGTGTGACTAATTGAATTCTTCTTTGTTAAATACACAAACCTATTGAGTCAAATCATTTACTAAATTAACTGAGTAAAGAACATAAGTTTCCCGTACTATTATGGTCATGCATAACATGTTATAGAGTCAAAATTGAATCACATAGTCTTCATATATCCACTAGGCATAGTTCGTATGTTTATTTCTACTTATTTGATATATTATAATGTATATTATATTAATTAAAAAAGACATAAAGATCCAAATCATACATATACAAGAATAAATTAGAAATAATCACATACTCCATATAAAACATCATAAAGTAATACTCTGTAATAGAAACAATGAGCTAAGAAATAAATTTTTGGACAATCAACACTATTTTTATAAAAGAAAAAAAATTGTAAAACTAATAAAATTAAAAATCCGGACCAACACTTGTTCGGACCGGAAAACCCGGAATCCGATCTGGTCCTGGAGGACCAAAATTATATAGGTCCGGTCTTCGGTCCACGTTTTTTAATTCCAGTTCCGGTCCAACCGGTTCCAGTCTGATTCGGTCTTGAACCTGTGCTCAGTCCTATTGGAGAGTGATGCGTTTAGATGCTTTTCACCTTTTTAATACACCTAGAATCACTTTTGGATTATTAGCTTATTTTATTCCAAACTATCATCAAATTCAAAAATCTATCTTATTTTTTCACATTTATCAAAAAATGACTCAAACTTCATCTTTCTCAACAATAATGTTTTTTTTTTCAAAATTACTCATTTTTATCAATGAAATAAGATATAAACAATACAAATTTGTAAACTTTTTTTTTTGAATTTAATTTGTAAACTTAAAACTAGAAAGAAGTGAAAGTTATGAAATATAAATATGTATTTTAAGCATGTTTTAATAAGTCAATAATTAACTCAATACTTTTTCCAAAGGTAAGCGTCTATGCGGGCAAAGTGCAGTGCAAACACTCTCGTAGTCCCTAAGCAGCAAAATGTCACATGATATCCTTTCTTGACAAATGCTAAATCCGTATCCCTAACCGCGGGGCTCTTTCCTGCTTCCCCACGGCTCGTCGGCGTCTGCTCCTCTTCCCAGTCCTCTGCTCGTAGGTATGCACTTACCTAAACTCATCGGACATTCGGACATGTGCAATTTCGTTAACGTCATCGGCCATTGGGTTAATACGCAGGAGTACATCTGCTTCGTTTCCTAGGGCTTATTTGGGAGCAGCTCGTCGAAAAAAGAAAAGAAAAATGGCTTCCCTCTTCAAGGTGATGCACCAAACGCCTCTGAATTATATATCCTCATGCGGATGGGGGTCGGGTTTTGGATTTACATGGTTTGAATTCGTGAATCAATCATTTTCACTTCCATCCGTTCTTTATGATATTATTATGAATACGAAGTAAATGGAAAAAGTTCTGTATAAACATTGAGATTTAGGGCGTCAAAATTTTCTATGCATTGATGTCAGTAGTATGTCTCTTTATCCTCATGTTTTGTAAAAAAACTTAATTTTTATTCTTATTGTACTTGCTGATCTGTAATGGTTAGGATCTGAGCAAGATATCAGCCTATAGAGATAGAAGGTTCCAGGGTTCACAGGAAGAGTTTGACGAAGCTCTGCTGAAATCTACTACTGTCTATGTGGGCAATATGTCCTTCTATACAACTGAAGAGCAAGTTTACGAGTTGTTCTCACGCACCGGAGAACTAAAAAAGATAATCATGGGTCTTGACAAAAACAGCAGAACTCCATGTGGTTTCTGCTTTGTAATGTACATGCCTCACCTCATTCCTCTGTAATCCTTTAGTTTTTCATATGATTGTGTACAATGGATGCTCAATCAAATTGATTAGATCTTCAAGATCCATGGGGGTAGCCTGCATACTATAGAAGTGGGATTTTCCTCTCAAGAAACACAGGAAAGTCCTCCTTTCATAGGTGAAAATGGGTCTTTGCACAATTGCACCCCATTTTCCCCCAATATATATATTTGCTTCCCGTGTATTATTTTATTTGAAGTTTCAACATGCACCCCAGGTGAGATGCATAGTCAATCATGGGGCAAAAAGTCTAATGATTGGGATGCGTATTCACAAAAAATAAAACATAGGATGCAAAATCCAATTTTCTATTTGTATTGACCTAAGCATTCTTCCAGTGGTTCTAAAACATTTTTCAATGGAACTAATTAACAAATGGAACTTTTCTTTTTTGATTGTTGATTGTTATCAAGTAGTCAAATAAGTTTTACCTGAAAGCTGTTGACTTGCTGTTAAATTTTAACCATAAGACAGCATTCAGGTTGTAGTTCTTGATTCTTTTGGTCTAGTTAAACTAATTAACTTTTGTCTAATGCTACCAAGTTGATATATCAATTAATTGCGAGATAAAATAGCACATATATACTATTCTGAAATAATTCTCATACCAGGTACTACTCTAGAGAAGATACTGAAGATTCAGTAAAATATATAAGTGGAACAATACTTGATGATCGTCCAATACGTGTAGATTTTGATTGGGGTTTCCAGGAAGGTAGACAGTGGGGACGCGGTAGAAGTGGAGGACAAGTAATGCCTCCTTTCATTTGTTATTATTTAATGTCAACATAGATGGTTCAATTTCTCTGATCCTTGATCTTTGAAAAATTCAGGTTCGTGACGAATATCGCACTGACTATGATCCAGATATCCTTTTGAAAGTTGCAAAGTCTTTGACTCTTTACTTCGTCCGTCATTGATTTCCTTCCGTCCTGGCTTAATATGTGTATTACTTTTATTTTTAGGTATTAATACGAAATATGCTTTTACTTTTCTTGAGTATCCCAGGTCAGTTGTTTGATGTTTTTGAGTCAAAGGATATATTGATAAAGTAAAAATGTCACCACTCGAGGATCCTTTTAGGGTGAGTCAAGATCAATTGAACAACTTTGGTGTTCTTATTTATGATTAATACTGATAAAGTAAAAATGTCATCACTCGAGTCTTTTAGGGTGAGTCAGGACCAATCGAACAACTTTGGTGTTCTTCTTTATGTTTAAAGCCTATAATTTTGCATTACTGAAACCAAAAATGTCTCAGATTCTAGTTTCATTTAGACAATAAGTGATGGAATATAACACAAGGTAGACATTTTTGTTTTTAATTTAAGTTAGAATATAGATGAAATTTCACTAGCAATGTAGACTAGGAGGCATTTTTTATCTTCTCTCAGAAAGCACTTCCAAGAAGATCACTAGATCAGTAATAATGAGGTCAGGGCAGTGATGCTTCTTCATCCAAATGTGTGTGAATTCCAATATTTGCTTCAAAGAGTAACATTTTTTCTTGTTAGTTGTTACTCTCATTTACTTACGTACAACAGTAGTTATGCTTCGCAGTTTAACTTTTTTTGGCCTATAAAAGTCCCAAGTTCACCAATGAGTTTAAAAGCAGTTGAATATGAATTCACACATTTTTTGCATTGTCTACTATAGAAACAATCAGATTAGTTTACTCAACCATTCTCTTGTAAGACAAAGAGAGTGTTGTGTGTCACTTGAATAGATGTTTCATATTTGTAAGCAATGGACATGCAAAAGAGGGATTGGATTACAAACACGAGCAGGGAAACATATCTTCTTAAAATTAAAATTTTAATTTTCTAATTCTCATCTTTTCTGTCTTTCATAATTAAAATTCTCGAGTTAAACTAAAATTTATCTTTCTTCAATTCCTCTTGAGTTCTGCATGAGTTCATTTTCTTCTTAAGGGTGCTACTCCGTCTTTTACCCCGTGGCAAATTGCCTGAGACTTGATAAAGTTTGCCTTTAGGCTTTAGTTATTTCTATGCTTTTCTTTACCACAAATACTTAAGGAACGCGTGGAGCTTGTTTTTATTTCCTTAACTAGCAATACGTAGGGGTGGTTATGGAAAGTTGGTGCAGAAGGAGTTGGAGTCTCAAAGAGAACTGGTGGATTATGGAACTGGATCATTGGGTAATTTCCCACCTGTAATGCCACCACAATGTAAGTTCAGTTCCACTTCCACCGCAGTGTGAATCCTTTTGTTTGTCTTCTAGACATTTTCAATAACTTATTAACTTATATTCTTTCTGGAATTTGTTTGCAATATAAGTAATCCTTTAGTCTAATTGGCTTCTAGTTAATGCGATTCTTCTGTACATTTTGTTTCCCATTCCATGTAATACGTTTTTCTATGAAAAAGTGATGATGCTTTGCTTGGGCAGATAATTTCATATTTCTGGAAGTTTATGCCTTTCTTTTTTGTTTTACGTACCCTTAATGTCCTAATGTGTGTTGTTTTTCATAATTCCTTTTCTTGTTTTCGGCCTAGATGCCCTATTGCTATTAACACTCAAAATGATGTCTGTTCTGCTATGTGCAGTACTGACTCACTTATTCTAATGTACTTTTATACTCCTTATAGTGTGTACTTGACCTAAAAGCAGACATAAAAGGGTGTATCCATGTTAAAACTCCCCCATGTCAGAGGATTTGGATATTACTATATTAGGGGTTGTTTGGAACTAAAAAGTGCTATGGAAGAAAATAAGGAGTAATATAGAGGAGAAATTTGGAAGGGGTGAAAATCTGGAGGAAATAAAAAATCCTTTGAACCCAATTTATCAATTTAGAAATTTGTTTAACCTACTTTTTTATAAATATTTCTATGATATAAAGAATAAGATATGTAAATATTTGTAAAGAAAATAGTTATAATCAAATATGGTTCTCATTCATATTTTCAAAGAAAAATGAATTTAATCTTTTTTTTGGTTACTCGTCCCCCTTTCCTTAACATTTTCCAAATTCCTATCATAGCCTTGGGGGGGGGGGGGGGTTAAGGCCTCTAAGAAACATGGGATGTCTAGGATGCTAGTGAAGAGACTTGAATATTCTCCACTATTGCACCAGTCCTACTCTACCCATCAGCAGAGTAGAAAACCATAAGGGGGATGAGAAGAAAAATTAGTAGATTCCTTTGGCAGCGTATTATAATTGAAAATATATACTCCCATTTTTTATTATTTACTAGAATTCAGAAGTTTTATTTTGTTTGCTTATTGCGCCAATCTTGCATCTCCCTTTTGATAGGAATCTGGGTTTTGTAGGCTATTAATAAGAAATAATAATATTAATAATAGTAAAGGTACTTGTAGTAGTTTTAATAGAAGGGAAGGGGTTATTAGTAATATCTAGCATATCCATATGTGGGCATTGGCTATAAATAGAAGGGATAACAACGGGTGAGGCAGACTGTTATTTGATTGAATGTTGCCTTGTTGCCTAAGAGTCCCGGTTGCCTTTGTTGCCTAAGTTGAGACTATTCCTATCAATAAACATCATCTTCCCTATCTTTGTTATCAGATCTGTGTTTGGTTGTTACTGTTTGTGCTCAGATTATACAAGGTTCCTATCATTGGTATCAGAGCATTCGCTCCTGGAGTCTTAATCGATCGTCACATCTCTATCGCTGAAGAGGAAAATTGATTGCCGCGATGCTTAGATACGAACGAACGAAGAGGGTCGCCGAGCAGAGCAGAGAACCGCGACGGTCAGAACTCGACGCCTTTGGTACGAACCTGGAGATGCGTTCGAACCTGGAGATGAAATCCGCGACGGAAAAAGTTGCGATAAACCTGGCGATGCTACAGGAGACAGTCGCGAAGATGAACAGTAACCAAAATCTACCGAGGAATCCATTGTTCACAACGCACAGCTCGCATCACTCTTTACATCGCACTTCGCTACTTGGAGACGCGAGAGATTCTGATCAATCTCGTTCTGGTGTGAATCGCGATAAAAGTGGTCGTACGAGAATAAAGGTTGAACTACCGTTGTTTAACGGGGATGGGGATGAGGATGATGTAGGCAGTTGGATTGTGAGGATGGAAGAGTACTTCCGTATCAAGGCTACTGCGGAAAAACTTAAGGCAGAAGTCGCATCAGAGGCTATGGAGGATGATGCGCTTTACTGGTTTGAAGAGTGGGAATTTCAAAGGAGAGAAAAAAGCTGGGAAGTTCTGAAGGAGGACATAAATCGACGTTTCCAACCACGCAGTCGGAAGTCAGAGAACCAAAAGCCGCGATCGTCTAGGAATTCTCCCAGTTCACAATCGCGAACTTCTTCGAGATCGCAGCCAGCATCGTTTATCGTTTCTCCTTCACAGATGCAAACCACTCCTCTCAGTTCGTATACTACGTTGCAAAAGGAAGTCTCCAATTCACAGATGCGAAACAGTTTTCTGAGTCCACCGGCATCAGCTTCCAGTTCGCAGGGGTCTTCGCAAGCAATCTCACCTAATTCATCAGCTTCATTGCAAGCAGTTTCTCTGAGTTCGCAGGACTCACAGCAGGTTTCTTCGCATATTTCCGCTTCTCACAGTCCACAAGTGGAGTCTGTTTCAGTCCCGCAGCAGTCTGTGAGTCAGCTAGAACTTAACTCTGAAGATAAACTCATCAATGGTGATGAGAAACGAGTGGAGGAGAAATCTTCTGTGATGAATCAACTCTCAAGTGCCGTGGAATATGAGTCTGCTGAGGACAAAATTGCTGGTTCTGAATTGGAGAACCAAGTGGTTTCTTCCTTGGCTGAAAATGAGGGACATGGTGAATGGGTTGGGAGTGGTATGTTAGCTGTTGATCCGCTACTGGCAGTTCATGAAGTTTCAGAAGGAACTGCTATAGCCTGGCAATCCAACTCCAGAACTACTACTGCATTTAGGAGTACCTTGAAGGAAGGGATGTGTGTGAACAAGGAGGAAACTGAGGACAGAGAAGAAGGGAATGATGGAAAGAAGCTTCAGGGAATCATCAACGCACATACTGATGCTACTAAGGATTGTGATTTAGATCCGAGCTCTGAATCAAACTCCAGTTATCAGGTGGCACCAAAGAGGAAGTTGGTTGGGCATCTTACTATTTTGAAGAAATTCTTGTATATTCCTGGTGCATTGGGGACTCATGTTACTACATTAAGAAAAAAGGTTAATATTGCCCATATTGGAATACTTGATAGTGGCTCAGGACTAACAAGGGAACCTGCACTCATGTTACAAGCTGAAGAAAGAGCTCATGGACAAGAACAAAAGAATGCGGTCAACTTCTATATCCTTTGTGCAAAGGATGCCTCGGGTGAAGTCCATTGGCAGAATTTATATAAGGGTTTGCATCGGGTTTCACTGGCAGTAAAGGGAAGGTATGGGTCATTCCAGAAAATAGAGGATGCTCCGAGGGCTACCAAAGCTGGCAATTCTTTTCTGGAGACACTAGGTATAATCCAAGGTTCTCGTTCTGAAGATGATGGAAATGGATATGAGTATATCAATGGTGCTAAACTTTCTTCTTCAGTTGCTACCTTGATAATGGCCAATACTGAAGGATTGTGGAAAATGTCAAACCGCTGCTTACTTGTAAAACTATTGGTTGGTAAAGGTGATACGCTTGAGTCATTTGTTACTAATGGAGAGCCCTTGCAAACAGCTATGCCATCAGAGAATGAGGAATCAAGGTTGGTAATAGCAAGTGAAGTTTTGGAAGGGCTGCATAAGTTTGATGGCTTCAGAATTGATGATAAAATTCCTGTGAAGTATGTCCGAAAAGGTGTGGGGGTAAGAACTACTGGAACCTGGAAGGAAAAGGTTGGTTATATTACTGGTGGATTCCTTGACATCTTCCTGGTGCTTGACAATGAATTCAATTCAGCTATCCTCCAAACAGCCTTGATAATTGGTGAGAACGTAAGGAGAAAGCTGATAGGTTGTATACTAGTTCAAAGGGAGGGTGCAGGAAATGTTGAGGCCAATGCCAGCTCTCTTTCACAACTTGCTTTACTCGAAGGGACAATTGCTGAAGCTGCAATGGGCCTAAGCGAGGTATTGATGAAGGCGGCATCCAACAGAGTGATATGTGTACTGGTTGGTGGCAGGGTGTTTGTTGATAAGATCATTACAGATCTTAAAACTTCAGATAAAACTGTGTTATCAACTGATATTGATTCAGCCAGTATGATCCCAAGTCTATTACGCAGGGACTGTGAGAGGGGAAGCAAACAGATTCTGATATTAATGAATTCTGGGGCCACTCTTAATCTCATATCTCAGAAATTGATAGAGGTGGTACAAATGTACTATAAAGCAGCAGTAATGTTTCAAGCCAAAATGGGGAAAGGAGAGCATATATCACTCCAGAGCAGTTGTGAGGTACTACAGACTTGGGTACACCATCTAGTGATGACTGAGGACTCCTATTTGTTAGATCTTGGAGAGTTTAATGTGATTCTGGGAATGGGACCACTAGCCAATCATGGAAATGCACAGAAAATTTTCAGTAAACACAGCATAAAATGGTTGGGAGAGGGGCAGTATGCAACAAAGTCATTGTCTCTATTCTTTCTTGCTATGCTCTTTCGGGCTATGAAAGGAGTGACCATGAAGGTTGGAATCAGGAAAGTATGGGTTCAGAAATCTGTGAGGTATTGGGAAGGAAGAGGTGCAAGAATGAAGTGCAAGTGGAAGATCATGGCTGATTCCTATCACCCACCTTGAGGACAAGGTGGTTGTTTAGGGGGGGAGTAATGATAGGAATCTGGGTTTTGTAGGCTATTAATAAGAAATAATAATATTAATAATAGTAAAGGTACTTGTAGTAGTTTTAATAGAAGGGAAGGGGTTATTAGTAATATCTAGCATATCCATATGTGGGCATTGGCTATAAATAGAAGGGATAACAACGGGTGAGGCAGACTGTTATTTGATTGAATGTTGCCTTGTTGCCTAAGAGTCCCGGTTGCCTTTGTTGCCTAAGTTGAGACTATTCCTATCAATAAACATCATCTTCCCTATCTTTGTTATCAGATCTGTGTTTGGTTGTTACTGTTTGTGCTCAGATTATACAAGGTTCCTATCACCTTTTGTAAGCTTGGAAGGATTAAGAGATAGTAAATATATTTAATAACTGTGGAAATGTCAAATCATAAAATTAAGCCTAAAAGGGTGTTGGGAACTAGGGAATGCCAAATAATAACTAAAGTAAATTCTATTTTTCGCATTAAATAGATCAAAAGACGTAGTAGAACAGCAAAATTTAAGAACATGAAAGAATTAAAATTAGAGGGAGTGGTAAACTAAAAACTGAGTTTACTCCTATTATCTCAATTACTTTTTGACAACTGATGTGTAACAGATGGTCGGCATGGTGGGAATCATGGTCACGGAGGTTCTTACCGGCACGGCAGAGGTGGTCCCATAAACTGCTAACTACTTCGGCATGTGTTCCTTCAATTGTTCTATAATTACATTGTTCATTAAGTATATTTTTCTTTTAATGCATATTTGGAGGAACAGATTACCAGCGTAAGCGGAATCGAGATGATGACCGTCCTAGACTCGATTACTCAAAGAGAGTTTACCGTCGTGAACCTACAAAAGATTCTGACCAGGAAGCTCGGCCGGTAAAATGTTTTGTTTCTGAATTAAAAAATACTGTCCTTCAAGATCTCTCTGTTTTTATCATTATGTAGCATCATTTCCTGCTTACTTGATATACTTTGATGTTTTGATATATTTGCATGGGAACTATCTAGTTACTGGTAGTTTACTCCACTAATAGTAAACATTCTGAATGGTTTGATGGTCTGAATTAAAAAAAAAAGAGTTTCACTTGGTCACACGACTATTTAGCCGCTCATCCACAACTTTCATTTTCCCACTTGTCCTGCAAAAATCAACTAAATATTGAACGGAAATTAACCTGATAAATGGTCAGAAGAACCTTAAGTGACCAAAAATCTCTAGTCGGGACTGGAAGTAGAAACATGAAAGTTAGAGACAACAATGAGAATGATCAAAAGCGGAATATTTTCTGAATTGATTTACTGGGAAGCGGAATAGGACTGGAAGTAGAAACATGAAAGTTAGAGACAACAATGAGAATGATCAAAAGCGGAATATTTTCTGAATTGATTTACTGGGAAGCGGAATTGAGGTACTACAAACTAGATAAAAAAACAAAATGACGTTTCACGTTTGGAATGAAAAAGTTTATCCAAATTTTTGGGAATTGGGCCAAAGTCAGGACAGAGTATTTTACCTAATATCTGGAATCTGGGATTCTCTGCAATGTCCTATTTTCTACGGAGTAACTTTTTCATACATGAATATGGTATTGGTTTGGAGGGAAGGGAGGTGACAAGTTAATTTTCCTTTTAAGAACAACATCTGTAGTGTTACAACTTCATGTTTATACAAAAATAAATGATAATTTAGTATAAACTCAATATCATTTATTTAGCATCAAAAGGATAAATCAGTATAAACTGAAGATCATTTATTTAATGTTACCATTAAGCATATGTAGTCCTAATTTTAGAATAAAAAATAACCACACCTCAGACATACTCCAAACCATCCCTTCAAAAACATGCCCTTACCCTTTAAAAGTATATTTTGGCAATTCTACTTTGTAGTGCATAATATGTCCCTGTCTTTGCAGGAAAAGAATCCGCGGTTCCGTGAGAGTGGCGACTCAGATGAGGAGGATGACGATGATAGGAAGCGATCCCATTAGATATTTCTGTAGTTCACTTCGGAAACTCTTTACACTGGAAAAAGGAATGACAAGAGTCTTTTTGTTCCCTTTTCAAGTTCACTTTTCTTTCCTATATCCATTGTGCTTGATTTTAGTCACCTAAGTAGCATTTGTAGCCTTATTCGTTTCCGTTAGACTTTCCAAAAGAAGAAACTAGTCTCTACTAAAATTCGGAATGTGTATGATCTCCATGGATGCTGTAGAAGTGGTCCCGTTGCTGGCTTTGTAATTTCTTATTCCAGTTTTCCAATTGATCTATTATTAAAAAGAGATCAAGTGAAACATTTAATGCTTCACTTTTGAAATTGTAATTATGGTTGACATAAGTCAGGTTCTTTACTGAAAGTCTGTCTGAAACAATAGGTTCTGAGATTGTAATGTTGTACGGAGTATTTAAAAGTGTTGGGTTTTAGGGAGTGTTTGCAACAACTTAAAAAAAGCACTTCTCAGCTTTTGGCTTAAAAAAGAACTTATTTATTAAACACTATCAATTTTTACTTTTTCTCGGCTTGCGTGTGAAAAGTGTTTTTTCTCTTTTCTATTACACAAAAATCATTTATTTTACTAAATACTGTCAACTTTTATTTTTCAAAATCACTTTTTTTTCTCAAACACTATCAACTTTTACTACTAATCACTTTTTCCTTACATCTCCAAAGGTACTTTTTTTTAAACAGAAACAGTTGCAAACACTCCCTTAGAGACCAAATTTTGTTCCCATGTAAGTGTGAACCTCTCTTTAAGTGCAAATAGGGATGGATCGGGCCCGGGTCCGGTTCAGGCCTAGGCCCGGCCGGGCTTGGATGTTTTTGGGGAAGGCCCAAGACTAGCCTGGGAGTCTACCGGTTCCGGGCGACCGGGCCGGTTCCTTTTTTGTTTGTTTTCTTATTTATTCCACCCCCTCGAAAACACCCAGCCCAGCCCACCTAAACCCAGCCCAAGGCCCCAAACCCAAAAAAACAAAAAAAAATAATTATAAAGCCTGGACCGGGTCCGGCCCGACCGGGTAGGTTCTCATTTTACAGGTCCCGGAATCGCCCTCGGTTGACCGGGCCGGTTCCCGGGCCGACCGGAATCGGTCCACCCTTAAGTGCAAACATGTTTGCATCGAACCTGGAACCGAAACGGAAATTAGCATTAGATACAAAGGTTCATGGTTGTCTTGAACCGAAATTGGATCGAGTCCATCCTTAAGGATTACTTCTAAGTTGTAACTTGTAAGTAGTTTAAGGATTACTTTAATTTCAAGTTCAATCTAGTTTTTGGTTTTGTAAGATGAACCTATGCGGGTGTCCATAGAATTCTAAGCGTTTATGATTGCGTTAAAACGGTTAAATAGAGAAATCATGTCTGTGTGATTGATTACTAGTTAATAATGTTGGCACTTGGCAATAATGTTGGCAGTGGATTGGTGACTTGTGACCTCAGTTACTAGTCCAACTGCTCCATCAACTCGATTAGCTTTATTGGTCGGCATGTTAGCTGAACTTGTTTCATAACACATAAATTGGCTGAATCGAGTGAATATGTTGAAATTAAAAAAAAAACAATAGTTGAAATGACTCAATTGATTGAATCTGCTAAATTATTGAAAGATTATACTTAAAATTAAATCTTCAAAAATTTTACTAAGTTTAACTGACACGGGGAATAATAAAGTAAAAGTAAATAGTTGTGATTTGTCCAAATTAGAGACAAATGATAGGAAAAATAAATTCATAAATTAAAAAGGAAGTTTGAAAATTTTTGGGACATACAAAAAGGAAAGATGACAAAGATAAGAGACGGAGGATGCATTTTTGTTTATAAAATAAGGAAAAATTATATGAATTAAAATGATTCTCTACAAGACCTTCACCTAATTCAGTTAGAAATGTAACTCTCTTATTTTGATTATTACATAGTTTAGTACTTCAGTGAGCAAACTCAAAAGTTACTTGTTTTATAAATAAAACTTGATTGATAAGGTTGATAATTGAAAATAAAGGTCATCATATGAGCCCTAGAATATGCTTGTGTTTACTCAAACTCTTAATATTAAGTGTAAGCTAATTACAATTATGACTCTAATTACAAGAAAAATCACTGCTATGTCATAAAGTTATTATAATTATGACTCTAATTACAAGAAAAATCACTGTTATGACCCTAAAGCCTTTAGTGCACATACAAGATTTTCTCATTAATAATAATATATGCCACTGCCAGATGGAGTTTTGGCTGCACAACATAAATAATGTAACCAATGAACAAGCTCAGGCGCTTGCCTATAAATAAATTATGAATTGTGTCAAGTGGACACAATTAGCTGTTCTTTCTTATGTGAAACTGTGAAAGTGATGCCATTGGAATTATGGGAAAAGATATTTGTGGAGATTCCGTCACTTGCAAGTGGCAATTGTATTCTTTTAATTCTGCAACTTTACTTTATTCTCTTAGTTTGATCTGTAACTAACAAATATATACAATTTATACAATTTAAGAATTTCTAAAGTGATAGATTTTTAAGCTCAAATTCAACATATTTTTCTAATTCACACAGGGCGTTACCTTAACCCTCATTAAGATACAATGCGCTTTATGTCATTTATAAATGTTACTGATAACGTGAAACATGTCAATGTGACCGCTAAAGAATTTTCTTGTGACTTTTCTTAGCGAATTAAAAAAAAATAGAAAGGTGAAGGAAAAATCATTAAAAAAAATTCGGAGTCTTTTCCGATGGATTTCATGGCAGCGGCTTCGAATGGTGGCTTGCGATGGTGGTTTCTGGCAGCGGCTGGACCCAAGGGCGGAGTTAGGAGGCCTTGGCCGCCCCAACATTTAATTTTTTTAATGTTATTCGTATGGCTTTAAGCCTTTAACACGTACATATATAAGGCTTTTCTATAGTAGCAAGCAGACCGAATAGAACCTGCCACCTGCGGTGAAACGGAAAGCCATAACACCTAATTTGAAGTTGTGAACTACAGTAAACTAGTAAGGATAACTTTAAAGATCGAGTTTAATGACCATCTAACATGAATAAGCAGTAGTTCAGGGGGGCTTTGGTCGTCCCTTAGCAACTTTTTTATTTCACTAAATTTCATCTTGTAAATTTTTTAACCCCTTACTTTTTGTTAATTTTGATATAGTAGTGAAAAATACTTTGATTATCTCCCAATTTTCATACTACGTCGTAGTATGTGAATAAAAAATTCTCATTAGCTCGTGGTGCCCCTCTTTTTAGAGGCATAAATGCTTAATTATTTCATAAAATAAATAAATTACATGGTACTACGTACTCCCTCTGTCCCTAAATTTACTTCCAACTTTTTCTTTTCTTCCGTTCCAAAAAGAACTTCACTTTCCATTTTTGGCAAAGAATTTGTGGTTCACAGTATTTTTCTCTTCTCTGCACAACTCTCCACCACACAATTCTCACTTTCTTAATCACCGTGCCACTTTAATTTGAAAGAACAATCAGGGACGGAGGTAGTATTAAATATGATTCAATCAACGAAGGAGGCGTACACCTAAAACAAATTCGGGGAAAAGTTATATATAAAAAATTTAGGATAAATAACGTACGCATGACGCATCAATACCCCCATCACATTCTAAGAGCATCTTTAATGGTATAATGTGCACGGTGCACACGTGGCATGAGAGATGACCACATAAATATTAGTAAATAAATTATTTCTCTCCTTATTTAAATGATTTTATACAGTTTTGGTAAGTTTTTATCCACAATGTCAAGGAGACCGTCTAATGTTGACATTGTTGTTGACATTGTAGGGAAAAACTTACCAAAATTGTATAAAATCATTCAAATAAGGAGAGAAATAATTTATTTGCTAATAATTATGTGGCTATCACTCATGCCACATGTGCACCGTGGACATTATAGCATTGGAGATGCTCTAAGTCCGCCCCGGCTGGACAAGTGTAGGGTGGAAGGGACTAGGGTAGAGATTTCTTATAATTTACAATGAAAATATTTGGAATAATTAAACCAAAGGTTAGTCATGTAAAAAAAACAAAATGAAAAGTGATCACTTTTTTGTACTCGTATTTCACAAAGTTGTATGTAGTATATACTCCCTCCGTCGCAGAAAATTCTTCCAACTTTGACTTGGATCGCATATTTAGGTAGTGGAATAAAGTAGAAATGTATGATTGTAGTTGTGTAAGAAAAAGGTGAAATGAATGTGAGCCACACAAATAATCAAAAAGGTGAAGTTGGGAGAATTTTCTGGGACGTCCCAAAAAGGAAAGTTGGAAGAATTTTATGCGACGGAGGGAGTAATATTTATGTCCTTATCTCATGAAAAATTATTACGATTGCAATTTGCAAAACAAAAATAAATTGACATGTTACATGGTGGCATCAGGGTGATATCACTTTCTTAAGGGTGAACAAAATGGAAAACAATTTTGTTCACCCCTCAAAAGAGGGAGAACATCATCCCCATCATGCGAGGAACTACGTATATAGGCTATATAGTGGGTTAAAATCCCGTGCAACTTATATTTTTTTCAAATTTTTTAGTGTTTTATTTCATATTTAGCTCACCTCTAATGTTTGAGTCTACTATAATTACTCTTTACCACAGTCTAATCCAAATTCTTGGATCCGTCCTTGATCCCATCCTCCAATGCTGCCACATGACATAACAATATACTCCCTCCGTATCAAATTACTTGACCCACTTTCCTTTTTTGGTGTATCAATTTAATTGACCTCTTTCCTTTTTTGGAAAGAATCCCACTCAAAAAGCAGCTACAGTACTGCTACAGTACCGCTACAGTGTCGCTACAGTACCAAAAACCTCTTATTTTTAATAAAATCTACAGTAATTGTCTTAACTGCGTGAAAAGTAAACAGGTCAATTAATTTGATACGGAGGGAGTATTACAATTTTACAATTGTTAAAACTTTTCATCTTTGGTTCAATTTTTTCAAAAAATATAACAATATTTTTTTAATTGTTTATGATCTTTCATATGATACTAATATTGCATATTTAAAATTTCAAAAAATATCCGGCTAAAAAAGATATAATTTTTTTCGTTTTTCAATTTTTATATGCAATATGAATATCATCGGAAAGATCATAAAAAGTTATGGAAAGTTACGGAATATTATACTTGATACTAGTATATTTTTTGTGGAAATTAAAAAAATTATAATAATTTCAAGAAAAAAAGAATTGTAATGCCAAATAACAAGTATGGGGAGGAGAGAGTGATATTCACTATCGAAGGAGGGGTGAACAAAATGGAACTCAACAAAATGGCTCCCTCAATTACTCAATCTTTAAATAAGAGGAGTTCAAAAGAAAGAAATAATAACGTTTAAGAAAGGGCACACATTATTCAATGTTCATTACAACCTGATTAATTTATATATCAGACCAAATTAGTTTATACCAGACTTAAATCAAATAATATCATATCAAATTAGACCAAACGAGAAAGTTAAAAAACATTATAAACATTTTAATGCAAGAGTGAACATTTTTATACCAGAGTAATGCTACGAGAAAATAAGGAGATAACCAATCATATCCATGTACATTCACTAACATGAAATTTTGGTTTTTTAATTTCTTATTTCTGAATTATATTAAATTAATTATTAATGGCAGAAAATCACATTTATTCATTTACAGAGCTATTAATAATTTAATTTAAAAAGTATGCCCCAATGATGAAAGTAGTTCGATCATTTTCGCATTTTGTTGTCGTTCTCAATCGACTTCAACCTCTGAACAAGCAACTGGTGATTAAACTGTTGAATAAAAGCATCTGCCTGTTTGTCGATATCTTCCTTCGTCGGAATTCTTTCCAGCTTCTTTGATGGCGGCGGCGGCCGTGGCGCTACCACCTTGTCGTGCTCATGAAAATGTCGAATAAAAGCTTCCGCCTCTTTGTCTATGTCTTCCCTCGCCGGGTTCCTTTCCATCTTCTCTGCCGGCGGCGCAACCACCTTCCCCTGCTTAGACGGTTGAGAAAAAGCTTCCTCCTTTTTGTCTGTATCTTCCGCCGCCGGGTTTCTTCCCGGCGGTGGCGCAGCCACCTTCTGGTGCCTAAACTTTTGAATAAAAGCTTCCGCCTGTTTGTCTATATCTACCGGCGCCGACGTTCTTTCCAGCTTTTCTGGCGGCGGCGCAACCACCTTCACCGGCGAGGTATCGATCACCTTCATCCTCGCCGGGATGGAGATGGACGAAGAGTGGCGCAGAAAGTGACGGTGTTTTTTCTTAAAACAAAGGAAACCCATTTTTTTTCTTGAAACAAAAAAAAAAAAATTATTTAATTGGTTGTGAATTGTGAAGAAATTGAGGTGAAGTCGGCCAGCAATTTATAGTGAGGGATAATTCCCAATTAATTAAATGACGCGTTGACTGAAAGCTATACGATATTGACCGAATAAGATCGGTGATTAATGTGATTCCACAAAATAAACTTTTTTATGTTTGTGTTAATCACTTAGGTGGAGTTGGAGTTTGATGGATTCTATACGACAGAAGACTTAATCAAAGCACCATATCCGCATGTGATTATACATTTTCACAAGCTAAATAATTGCCTAATCCTTTTCAAATTCGGGACCACAAACACAAGATACTTCTAGTATGTGTATAATTGTATATATTCCTTTGAACATATTATACACACATGGCAGGAAAAATTTTCAGATAAATTATCACATACCTTTTTATATGCACACGTACCCATTTCAAATTTGTATTAAAGTGTTCCAAAAAAACAATTTGTATTAAAGTATCAAAGCCAACACCAATTAAACCATAATTCTACACTATCTTACGTAACTTTTAAATTTTCAACGACTTTAGCATTAACACACATATTACATAAATTAATAATTTTTGTATAAATAAAACATATTCTTAAATTCTAATTGAATAACTTTATCCATATTATAGTAAACTTCTAAGCACATTTCTTGAGTAACAAGTAATCAAATTATATTGAAAAAATGTGATGTTGGATTATGATTCTTCATTCATACAAGATTTATATTTTATATATGACAATTTGTAAATTAAAGTAGGATAGTAGAAGGGGTGGAGCCAGTGGGTCAGGATGGTCAGCCGACACTGCTGAAAGTTTGAGAGTATAGAGCTCTGAAATATCTTCGATTTGATATATTATGGCCCACGTAACTCATTACGAGTAAAAAGTTATAAGTTCTGGAAAATCAGCACTTTCTAAACGTAAAATAAGGAAAATTTGATGCATAATATTGATTATTTTTTCAAATTTTAAAAATAACGAATAATTAACTCATTACTTACGTGACACGATTCAGAAAAAGAGCAAAGATAATCTATCTTATTGCTTGCTTATGAATGCCTATTTATCTAAACTACAAATGAAACATTCAACTCGGAAATTGTCTCAAAACGATCTACCATTTTCATTTTATACATAACTAGTAATTCACCCGTGCGATGCACGGTCGGTGAATTTCTTACCCATATTATCTTACTCCCTCTGTCCCAAATTATAAGATACTTTTTCGGTTTACGAAGTTTGACCGACGATCAAGCCGACGAATCCCTATTTGCACTCAAATTATTTTTAGAAAAATAAAATTACATATTCAGAAACTACACTAAAATCGCTACAAAACCTGCAAAAAAATTCAAATTTCCCAAAAATTTGATATATAAAGTTAGAGATTAAGAGTGATTTGTGTTTACCAAGTGAATAGTAAAGATATCTATCTTACAAAGTGGGACAGAGGGAGTATTTATCATTGTTTTTAACACCATCATCACAAAGGAATTTTTACTAACAAAAACAATGCTTTGGAGTATAGCACCGTTGCAAGTACAGAATTCAAGATTAAGCAAAGATTAAACAAAGGAATGAAATAACAAACTAAACCAAAACAATTCGGCAAAAGACCGGGGGGGGGGGGGGGGGGGGGTTAAAACGCAATCTATGCAACTTCAGAGGTTATTGAAAACTTCCTTGTACACCACATTTTGAGTGGAATTAGCCGTTGTTCCGCTGTCATTGCATATAAGTATTTTCAAACCACGTCTGTTGGTCACTCTCGAAACCGCAACATAAAGCTGTCCATGAGTAAACACCGGTTTCTTCAGCAACAACCCCACCCGGGACAACGATTGACCTTGACTTTTATTTATAGTCATTGCATATGAAATCATAATGGGGTATTGTCGCCTCTGAAACCTGAAAGGCAAGTTGGCATCTGACGGAGTCAAGGACAACCTAGGAATCAACACTTTTTGTCCAGAACTTAGACCAGTCAAAATTTTCCCCTCCAAGACATGATCGCAAAGCCTGGTGAGGATCAGTCGAGTGCCGTTACACAACCCCATTGAATGATCTATATTTCTGAGAAGCATAACTGGGGTCCCAACCTTTAACGTCAACTTGTGATTCGGCACACCAGATAACTTAATACTGTTAAGGAATTCGGGAGTGTGTAGTTCTGCCATTAGATCGGTAGTAGAATCCACCTTTGACACACTGTCGGAACTAAGATATGTCCTAGAAACTTCGCCAACATTGAGACCCATCATATAATCATTAACAGATTCAACTACGGCAAGTGTTGGGGCCAATATTGCACGGTCACGCAAACAACTAACGTCATTTGCTGATGCTACATACTCTGGGAAAATGCTTTCCACAATGGCGGCTATAGGATTAGCATTTGTGTGAATCAACAGATCCTCTGGAATATCAATCGACACAAATCCATCATTTTCTTCACCCAAAACGCCATCACCAATACTCGCAATCCACTCCGAGAACTTCTTCAAATCATATGATTCATCCTCACTTGTCAAATTTTGCAGACGCATGTTTTTGGTCAAACGAAGGACGGTGCAATTAGACCACAAATAAGAGGAATTTATGGTGGCATTGACAACATCCTGTCTGCTCCCATTAGGTATCACAGGGAGGACTTGGCGAAAGTCACCACCGAATACCACAGTCTTGCCACCGTAAGGCACAGACACGCTATTTTGTTTGTGAAACTGCATAATATCTCTCACGCTGCGATCTAATGCCTCAAAACAAAATTTGTGCAGCATTGGAGCCTCATCCCAAATAATCAGTTTACATCGTACAATAAGTCTAGCAAGAGGACTCCCTTGCTTAATATTACACGTGGAGTCTTCATTCAAACTAATTGGGATCGCGAATCTAGAATGCGCAGTGCGTCCACCTGGTAGAAGCAGGGAAGCAATCCCACTCGATGCGACATTAAGGACGATCTCACCCTTAGACCTAAGGGCGGCAGAAAGTGTCTTCCAAACAAATGTTTTTCCGGATCCACCATACCCATACACAAAGAAAACACCCCCAGCTTCCTCTTCCACAGAATGCATTATCGTTTCATAAACACACAGTTGCTCATCCGTAAGGGAACCGAACAATGTTGCATGCTCCTCAGCCATTGCGGTCCGGTCATAGCTCAGCTCTTCATATATCATCCTGTCATTGGAAGAAAGGAGTGAATCCATCGTAACCGTTGGCATCGGAGGGTAATCTCGCAAACTCTTTCCTCGACCACGCAACAATTTCTCCAATTCAGCCAAAGCTAATTTTTGCAATTGGTCATCAGAAAGAATCAGTTCTGCAAAAAAGATAAAATTTAAGGACAAAAAATTTGATAAAAATTGAAGAAATAAAAAGTGCATATATACACATTATATTAAGGAAAATACTGCGTCCATATAGGATTTAACCTGGATGTTGCAACAATCGTCTTCGTGTGTGTTGTATGTCATCCGCCATGTACCTCCAGCAATGTTGCCATACAAATTCGGGCCTAGACATTGACTCCGTCCACAAAAGAATAACGAATAAAATTCTCATGTAAAAGCCTGAAGAGAAGAAGCTTGCTTCCTTGAAAGCATCAATAAATTCCTTGTCATCATCCAGTAATCCCAAGGCATAACATGCCTCACGAAATGAAACATATGTTACACCAGCAATAGTTCTGAGATCTTCGTGACACATTGCACCACGAATGTGATTTAACAGACATCTTAGATAATATGATTCACCACTCCCTGGATGGACATAATAAATTCTACCAATAGCGAATGCCTTTTTTCTAGGAGTCCATTCCCTCGTCTTTTTCTTCCACACAAATTTTTGTGGGAACTCAGCATATGTCAATGATGTGGCCTCAGGATATTTTTTATTGGCATCCATCCATGCAGTGAACATACTATCCCGAACAGACGTGGTATTAACAACCAAGTCCAATGGCTGGTCATCATTAAAAACTACAGATTGCTCATTTGGCAAATGAAAGCTCAATCGCTCAACCGGCGGGTTTTTGTATTGAATCTCAAAACCATAGATCCTCCAGGCAGCTTCGCAGGGGGAAATGTATCTACAATCATAATACATTTGAATTTCATCTACGGGCTTGTGCTGCGTATCACCATCCACAGTCTTGTAAAAGGCAGCCGTTACTCGATCACGTCCCTTGTTAATGTACTTGAACAGATACTTTATCGACCTTGACTGGTTACACCACTCTACATTAATATGTGCACCATATTTCATCAACAAATATCGATTGTGGGGCACAACATACCTATTGTCCAAATCCACATTATTCTTACGGATAACACGATTATTACGAACACGTTTATAAACTGGGTAACCGTCGTCGTCAACCGATGTCTCAGCACACCATTTTTTAGGGAAGTGTTTGGCGCACCTTCCATCAACCATGCAAGGCGCAGACCTAACTGTACCGCCGCAAGGGCCATGCATCATAAAATCACCAACAGCAGCATAGTACAACGGGTCACGGTTAACATCAGGAATCTCAGCAGAAATCACCCTATCAATATCCTCAGGTGACGGCAACTTATGTTCCACAGATAGCCACAACAAAATATGGGCATGAGGCAATCCCCGTTTCTGGAATTCTATCGTATACACCACTAAAAAAGCAAAACAAATTGTCAGTATTTCTCTATTAAATTGTGAATTATAAATAATGAATAAAATTTAGGTCCCCTACCTCCCCTAACATTGCCGAAAGACTTTTTTTTCCTCAAATCCTGAATCAAACCGTCCAGCTTAATCTTGAAAACTCGAGTGACAATATCGGGCCGATCTTCAGGTCTCAGACCTCTCGAATGGAGAAAACGATCAATCTCTGGCCACCTTGGATTACAGGTAAATGTTATAAATAGATCCGGATAACCTGCCCACCTACATATGGCCATAGCATCCTGATAATTCTGAATCATATATCGTGCACCTCCAGTGAAAGTAGGAGGTAATACAATTCTCTTTCCTTGTGTGCGGGAATCATTTTCACCCCGCAAGAAAGCATCGCTCAGACCCTTATACATTTCACAACGAAGTTGTTTCTGATGCGTCCTCACAAATTTTAGTCTTGCAGACTCAACCAAAGTATAGCCGTCAACAATGAACTGTTGAAAAAGTCTTTTGGTCTTGAGAAGAGATGAATGACTATCACGCCGTTCTTGAAGACGGAATGAAAGAAACTCCCTAACACTAACTCTTTTCCTGCCAGCAACAACAGCACCATCAGAGGTGGACAACAAAGTATCCTCACGATAACCGTCTTCTCCGTAAGGAAACAATAACGGATACTGAAGGCCAAAATATGCCGGGTGCAACTCGTTAATCCTCTGAAGCGCTCCAGTTTGAGTTTGAACCAATATGTCCCGCTCCCCTAGGGATTCATCAAAATCACCGACAACTAAAGCAGCCACCTCTGACACCGAAGGCAAATTATACGTTCGGGCATCCCCGCAACGATTTCCTATAAGTTTCAACCGCACATTTGTGGCACTATTTGTTTCAATCATCTGTTTGGCAAGTCGAAAAGACTTGACCAAAACGTTATGTTCGTTGAGCATCCGAGTTAATCCAATAACTATTCCCTCGTGCAACTTCCTCTTATCACGACCGTCACTGGAATAACAGGGAAAAAACAGGGGGGTAAATATTTAAATTCAAATTGGAATCACAATAAGACAGACAAATGTGACGTACCACACAGATGAAAATCTATTCTCAACCTCATTTTCAGTGTCATATATATACAACTGTGCAAATTTAGGCCTAGCACCAGGAGGAGGCAACAAACTACCAATCAGATGATAATTTTGGCCATGCAATTTAAAAATGGGAGGAGATCTACCCCTATTGACATTTCCCTCCACCCTCCCTCCCATTGACGTAAATGAAAACATACTGTTGTAAGATCGTATGTTTTCCAAGAAATGTTTACTGCGTTCATCTGCACCCTCAATCAATTGAGTCAACAACAAAGGCGGTTCTTTCATAAAAGGGAGCACAACTTTTCTCTGACTACAACACAGTGAGTATTTTGGAACATCCTTAGTTGATGTGGATATAACACGTTCGTCAAACCAAAACAAAGCACCACAAAACTCACACACCAATGTTGAATCACCGATGTCCCAATATTCTGTAATACATGAAAAATAATAACAACTATCAATGAAAATGAACCACCCAGGTAGAAATTATAATTGGAAAATAATTGACTGATGCAGACCTACAGCCCTGCGGCTGGTGTGAGCAGGTAATGCCTCATAGTCAACATACTCATCATCCACATCACTGTCATCAAGGGAATTTACATCAAAATCAGCAATAGTTGACAAAGCTGATGTGGCAGAATTCGAAGCATTAGCATGGACACCGTCAGGCTCTGAACCTATATAACCTAAAAGGATCATAATTCACCACATTAGTAACACGGGCATGTGAGAATACTATCTCACAAACAAAATAGAAGTTAGATCAAAATTTAAAAATATTCAGAAATTCGTTGACAATTGTTTTCAAAAGTTACCATGATTGAAATATTTGACCGTGCCGCTTGAGACTCTCCCTGATTGCATGGTACCAATAACAACGCTAGGGGTTGACCATGCCGGATGACCTCGAGGCTGCTTTGCAGGTAGCATCTTCCCCTCTTCATCCGAAACGGCTAAAGAATTGCATCCCAAAAAACAAAAAAAAAAAAGACCAAAAAAACGCTTTAAATGAAACCCTACTCTTTAATGGAATATCAAATGACCAATACATTAGTACAACAATTATATCATGGATAATCTATTTTCCATTAATATCAACAGAACATGATCCAAAATTAAATGGGACCAAAACATCTGTATTTCTCAGGACAGAATATATTTAAATCAAATATTAAACCCCTTGACCATAAACCGAAATGGTTCAATAAATTTAGTGGTTGTCCAAAAAATGAATAATTATGTTTCCAAAAAGTAATACATAACTTTCCCATATCTACAACCCAAATTCAACGCAAGCAAATGAAATTTGAAAAACAATAGCGTATTTAAGAAATTAATGATGTATAGCGACAGACAAACATATATTTTGTCCACGCAAATAATTGAAAAAATTTAGAGATAATTTATTAAAACACGAAACCCACGTAGGGGTGTTATTCGCCACACCAAAAGTTTACAAACCCTTAACACCCAGCACCTAAAATGAAAACAGGCTCCAACACAGATTTCACTTATAAGGCCGGTTAAATTTTGTAAATCAATAAGGCGAAATGTTTAACTAAAAATAGGAAAAAAAATGGTGAAAATCACAGAGGTGGGGAATATAATAAATCATCACGATAAGAACTCTATAACGTTAATAGTGTATTCACAAAACTCAATTAATTTTAATTACGCAATAGGCAATATAAATTTAAATAGTTTGATTAATATAACTTGATCATGGTCCTAAAATAAGTTCTTATATGAATTCCGGAATGTTGAATATAAATACGAAGCTTGGGGCATTCAAATAACACCCCATCAATTTCTACTTTGGGATAAAATAAGATACTTTTGGATATATTTTTGTCAATTTTGTTCAATTTTTAATTCTGGAATAGCGCATTCAAAAGTATTAAAAGGCAAAGTCAATAATTAATTTTTGGGGTATAGCATATTTTATTCAATTTTATTCAATTTCTACTACCGGAATAACGTATTTTATTCAATTTTATCAATAAAAAACATCCAAAAGTATTAAAAGGCAAAGTCAATAATAACATTTTTTGAAAAAAGCACAAACTCCTGAATTTTTATACCCACTTAAAACAGGCCCAAAGCCAATTAGCTGGAAAAACACCCAATGCAAAATATCGTTCGGCCCAACAAACAATGGATACGGCCCAGAACAACACACCCCTAATATCGCACGCCACATCCTCATTCCCCCATTCCGCCCTAAAACTTCGCCGACATGCAGAAGTCATCGGCCTCCCTCTCTCTCCAATGACTCTCAAATACGGCAAGATAAACCACATAGAAGGGATTCAGACCTCATAAACAACACAAAGGCTAACCAAAAGGTTCCGAAGAAACACATCGACGAACTAAACCACGGAAAGAGGCAAAAACGGCCAAGGATCTCCACTGTCAACACCGGGAAACACAGGTAACACCCGTCGGCTACTATCGCACCAAACCCACAAACCCCTACACGATTCCCTCACATGCACGCACACACAACATCCCCACACAAACTCTTTTGCTCACAAACAATACGAAATTGTTTTTACCGAAAAAACACACAGATCCTTCAGGCTTGATAGATTTTAAATTTCATGTGGTTGTTTGATCGAAATATAATCGGTAAAACTATTTTCAGTGCTATGTGGAGTAATATGCAAAAAAAATATCAGATCTGAAGATCCTATCATGTTGTCAAACAACCTTTTGATTGTAAAATAAATCACAGAGATCCCCTCTCACGTGCACATGGAACCAAAACGTTATTTTGAAAAAACTATACTGATTCATACAAAAAAATCTTACAAAACACAGAAAGACTGTGTTGTTTTGAAGCAAATTTTCAGTCGATATTTTAAAATGTGCTACAAAGGGGTTTTCAGAATAGCATCAGAAAAAAAAAATTATTTCAAACAAAATGTTTTTTTGATTAAGCGGGCTAAAC